CCCCCAAAACCCCAAAACCCCAAAACCCCTCCAAAATAAAAAGATATTGAAACCTTTCAATTATGAACTTAATCAAGGGAAGATTCTCAAGGAGCGCTGTAATTCTCATGGCTAGATGATTCACTCTGGTAGTTATCATTAGATGAGAAAGAGGACTTCTTCTCATTTTTAATGTTATACTCTTCCTCTTGAGACTGACTCTCTGAAGCAATTTTCTCTACAATCTTGCGATGGACCTCGAAATCTAAAGTTTAGATAAAGCACTTTTTAGTTAACACTTACTGTTCTTGTCATATCCAAGGTTGTTAGAAAGATCAAATGCATAGCTTTCTCCATTCCCTTGATTGCTACAGTAACTATTATTTTCAGAAGACTCGTGAAATGAAGGCATCTCAACTGGCTCTTCGATAGGCTTCACTTCATTTTTGGGTATATCTTTTCATTCTCTGCAATACCATTTGGTGAAATCAATCTCGAACTGATCATCATATTTTGTGTACGAATCTCTTCTATTTGGATTGTTATAGCTTTTAATCCGATTCTTTCTACTCTCGTTCTTTTCAATGCTTTCAATGCACGAGGGATGGTACCATTTTATTGGACATTCAACTAAGTTCCGACATCTAATGAAATGGTTGCTTTCTCCTACATATTCTCTCTTACAGTATCAATAAGGGTAATGGTTATCAGGATTGCCTCCTTTATAGGGTGGTTGCATTTCTAATTCATCAAGTTCTTCATTGTCATAATTTTCCTGATCTAAAAGATCAGCCTGCTGGCTAGTAGCTAAAAGATCAGTATTAAGGACTTTACTGTTAAAAGGCACACCATTTAGAATATGATGAGTAAATAGCTGTAAAAAGTTAGACAGAGCCTTACATCATTCGATTCAACAAGAGCGTGGAATTGATCGTAGACCTGCTCAACTGAGAATTTTCCCTTGCCATTATTCAACTTCTTAGTGACATATTTCCAAGGAAATTTGTACATTGAGCAAATATCTTGCCAATCTATGAAGTCAGAAAGAAACCTAACCTTGGTAGGATAAGCTGGGCTTATACTCTCTGTCAAGTTTATATGTGATTCTTTTGTATGGGCCTCCACTGTAAGGATTCATGGAGGACCGAGAGAACAGACTGCTTGCTATATTTTTCGATCTGATACACTTACGCCGATCTCTTCTTTTTGGTGACTATAGATGGGAAAATAATGCTTACCTTTGCAGATTTGACTGATATCATCTTGTAAGGATCTCTTGCTATCGTTTTCTCTTGCTTTATAAATTGGATGGTCAGGCTCTTCTCCAACAGATAGGCCTCCTTTATATACTTTTGCATGTTTAACAAAATACTTTTGGTAAACTTCGCAATTGTGGTGGCTGGCTATACAAATTTGGTCAGAATTAAAGATTTCTTAAGGCCAAAACTTACTTTAGATTCTTCGTGTTTACGATAAAGATCATCCATAGCTGTTAAGAAGTTTAAGATTTCGTAGGAGTATATATCCTTCTTGTAGTCAAGCTCCTTCGAAATTGTGTATGGAGTATGTTTCTCACAGTATATTGAGGTAACTCTTTCTTGAAGATTACTGAAGTCTTCTAGAACCAAATGAAAGTCTATATAATGTTAAATTATGTTTTTACCTCTTCTTCTTGCTCATTCAACGTGAATATGATTTTCTCAATCTGTTTCAGAGCATTTCACAGTACTTCCCAAGTTAATGGAAGTAGATTTATTTCCCATTCTTGGTCTTTCACAAATAGCAGGGAGTTGAGAACCTCTTCTTGTCAATCTTATTCAACTTCACTAATCCTTGTTGGGTATGATAAAGCTCGGGTGTAAATAGGACTCAACTCATGTGAACCCATGCATAGAAATTAGGAACAAGAGCATCTTTAGATCCTTCGTCTTTATAAAGCTGCTTTAGTTGTTCTTTATAATTCTTTCCAAAAATAGCACTTTGTATCTTTTCCTCTTTCTGAACAATTTTGTTAAAATTTAAGTTCTTGTCTTCTGTTGGGAAAATTCTTGTGTTTCCGTCTTTCCTGTCGAGAAGGTTCACTTTCCTGTTGATATTCATTTTACTGATCATTTTCTCAATTTTAATCTTTTTCTGAGAGTCATCCTGGAAAATTGTGTTGAAGTTTGCACAATCAAGATGGATTTCTTCAAGGTAATGTCTAATCTTTTGCTGGTATACATTATCTTTAATTCCTGTGCCAATGTTTATTAGCAAGGTATCGGATGCCAACAGGTTGCATGGCTTCATCAGTCCTCCTTTATTAGGACAGAGAGCACATTGGATATACTGTCCTTGGTGAGACCCAAAGACTTTACAGATAGTGCAGTTCCAGTCCCCTTCAGGTAAAGAGTAGATACCGTATCATTTTTGGTGAGCACAGGCTCCTCACTCTTCTCAGAAGACAATTTGGTTGTCATGTTTGGAGTCTCCATTATTACAGACCTGTCATATATACTCATCAGACCTAACCTTGAACTGTTTATATATTTCTGAAATCGAGCCTCTCTTATTTTTCTTTGATTGCTCTCTAATAATCTTTTTCTCATCTTCATTTTCTACATTAGCGATTTCTAACTGGTAGGAATCTCTAAGGCTAAGTCTGATCCTACGAGGGCAGAGCTGGCCTTTACTATTCTCTTGTGGCTCATACAAACATTTTAGGTCTATATCGTCAAAAGTCTAAGCTTACATGGCATAAATGTGTCGTAAATATACTGCCCATATTTGTGCATTGTCTCTGAGCTTAGGAGACCTTCTGTTGGGAGCTTGCGACTTTCATCATTGACTTCGGAGAATTTCAACTCGTATTCATCGAAAATACGGTCATTCTCTTCCTCCATATTTTTGAGGATGATCTCAAGGAGTTTAATGTTCTGGGTCAAGTTGTTGTTCGAGATAATAGTGTTTATCGGTGGAAGCTCCCTTTTTGATGGATCCTCCCTACAAATTTAGTCAGAATGAAGCACTTACTTGTTGAGTCTCCTCATAATGTTGATCCCTTTCCATTTCTCATCAAAACTGTATGGAACAAATGAAGTATTCACATAATTTAGGAAAGTTGAGATGTAATTCTGGTTAATCTCTTTAAACTGGAACTCCTTCCTAGTGCTCTTGAAGAGGATATCTTTAATTTTTAGCTTGAAATCTCTGAAGGAATAAGGGTCCTTGAACCAATTAAGAACTGTTTTCTTCGTCCAAGGTTCACACTTTCGGATATCACTTTTGATTTTAGAAAAGCAATCTTTGGTTCTGAAATGGTATTTGCTATGAAGCAAGAATGGAAAGTACTGGTTACTGATTAAGTGCCAAAATATGTTTCCGCTCATATAATTTGTAATGCTCTGCTTTCTTTTTGGAAAAGGATCAGAATCTTTTCTATTCTTTTCATAAGTCTTTTGCATAACTTCTTCAAGTTCTTCCCATAAAAGCAACTTGTTGTCTAAAATTTTGTTATTAAACATGGGTAATTTTGCAAAAGTTTAAATAAAGTAAATCATAAAATTTTGAGGAAAGTATAATATTGTCTTAATCAAGAAAAATATAAATTTTATGAGTTAGGAAACCAATAAAAATGAATTATAGGTTGGGATATAAAGTATCTATTAGTTCGATACAAACGCTGTACTTACTGTAAACTTCACTGGTATATTTTGCCACAGTATTAAAGCTCTTGTACTCAGTATTCTTGAACAATTTCTCTCTATATTAATTTTAAAGTTTACAAAATCTTGAAATTAAAAAGCCACTAAACCCAAAATCCAAAGATCTATCAAATCTGTACAAACAAGCCTTAAAAAGCACTTAATTCCTTCTACCCAAACAATCTTAAACCCCAAGGTCAAACCCTACCTTTTCGCCATATCTTCAAACTGCTTATCTTCAATAGCCTGATGTATACTACTCACTTCCATAATTTCCTTCGTACATCGTCTCTTCTGATTTCAGTCCTAAACCTGACCCAATCCCCTTACCTTCTTCGACTCATATCTTCTTCCCACTGTACCTAGACCTCAGCTCAGTCTTCCTCAGTTAGCACTTGATCCTATTTTTCCTACTATAACTTCTGTTTCTTCTTTTTCTTCTTATGAATCTCCTATAAATCTAACTACTGTTCTTACCTGATGAGGAGCTTTAGCGACCAGCCCAGCGGGCTGGGCTGGCTTGGCCCTCTTCCTAGAAGGAAAGTTAGGAAATTTATGAAGGGATTTTTGGGAAAGAAGGAAATTTACCGTTTGCGTTTGGGGAGAATTGGGGAGTTGGAGCCAGGGGTTTCTTGGTCGTCTTGGCTGGAGGGAGAGGGGTTTTGGGGATTTTTGGAGAGGGAAGTGGATTTTTGGTGGTGTTTTTGGGTACGCTTTTTGGAGGAGGTGGATAAGGGTTGGATGTCGTGGATTTTTGTGGCAGGTGGGGTCTGGTCTTGGGGAGTGAAGGAACTGGGAGAGGGACCTGTGGAGGCTTCTTCTATGCAGGCGACTCGTATTGGACTGTATAGGGATTTAGGCATTTTTTCTAGAGATTTAGGGAAATACTTTACCAACTGGAAATGCTTTCGGGGCTTTACCGGAGACTTGTCTGCTCATTTACAATATTAAAATGAAGAGAATAAATAAATTTAGGTATTCTATATCTTGAAGCCTTATAGGGGTTTTGGGGTTTTGGGGTTTTGGGG